ATTGACCTACTACTGCGCGATAATATTGTAATATTCAGATATAATATCGAGTGGCAAAATAAAACAAATCGATAATATTTTGTCACAATAGCAAAAAAAAGTAATTCCGTCCGGTGCGCGAGAACGTTGTCAGTCTTTTTCCATACTGTCGTGTTCGTATCCGTCGAACGATTCATAGGCACGTGTGACGGCCCTTGGACGGAAAGTTTTAGGTGGGAGGTTTTAAGTAAATCAATTTCCTCGTGTTATATAAAAACAATATTTGTAATGCGTTTAAGTTAATTATCTTGTATACCTACTGGTTATAAATAAACGTAACAGGATATTTATTTTCGTCTTATCACCCGTCGAAATAACATTCGTAATAAAGCAATGAAAATTAACCAAAGCAATAACTATTATATAACAATTATTAAACGTAAAAATTACCGACTTCTAGGGGAACATATACGTATGATACGAACTGTACGAAATATCTATACTTACATCCTGAAACCCTGTATTATGTACAAGTTCCCCCAAGTCATTGTACCGCCTCTGGTCTCAGTATTTCACCGATCACCCTTATTTCGACTTGTTTATGGCCGCATGACGCATCCAAGGAATAAACGGTGCGGCATGTCATTAAAACGCGAGGGCTGCACAAAATAGTTGTTCGATCGTTTTTACTTCAAACTGGTCCTCGTTCGGCTGCAGAGCTTACATCCTAATATTTCATGACTGTTTTGGTTATGGTATTCGGTATATTATAAAAACAAAATATTTTAGTTGTTTTTCGTCCGCCAGTGTTAGGACCAAACGGCCAACACAACAAATATCACGCTGGTACTTTTAATAATGTTATTCGTAAAAGAAAAAAAAATGAATAACCCATAAATTGTTCCGTCATATTTTTCAGGATTTCCGAGATATTTTATATTTTATAATATGTTGAACTCGACAGAAATAATCTCGAATTAAATGTCAAAAACAAAAAGAAAAAATCGCTGTTTCGGTGATAGCGGAATAAGCACTGCATACACACACGGTTGATCGAAGAAATTCAATATTGTCAGTCTTTCCGGGAACACTATTCTCGTTGTCCTAATTTTGACGACACTTTTTTTTTGAATTTTTACTACCATTACAACAAAAAAGTGTAAAAATTAAAATTGGTAAACAATGGTTACGCGTTTCGTTTAAAATTTAAAACATGAAAATTATAGGATTTGATAAACCGGTATAGTTACGGGAATTTAAAAGAAATACGTTGCATGTAGATTTAATGGACTGATTCGTTGGATTTTCTATAAGATTACAACCGTAAATCATCCAACGAAACCGATTAAACGGATAAGTAATAGGGACATATTTATGTTATAATAGTTAGAATCGATACAAGTTGTGCATTCAACAGCAGTGATTATACCATAAGAAAAAAAAAAAAACGCACGCAAATGCGCGTGGAAGTGAAATAATAGTTACATAAATCGTAATCCCACGGATAACATCACCATCACGAGTACATTACGATCTGTCGGCTATTTAAGACAAACATTTGTTTTTTCATGCCAACTCGAACCGGTGTTATCATTCATGGTATTTATTATGGTCCATGCGGCCGTTTGCATTAATGGCGTTTCGCGCGAACGTTTTGCGGACACAATGTCGTGCGTACAATAGTTCAGCACCCATCGGTGTACAGGGCGGCACCGTGTCGTCGAACAAAACATTACGCCTACGGTCTTCTAACCTGGAGTCCAACTAACTGTGATGTGGTTACGGTTCCGCAATTGAAACGGGTAGGGGTGGGGAGGAAATCATAACGCGAAAATTACGCATTAGTTCAGATAAACGCGCTGCAGTGCCTACACTACATGACCACGGGATAGATGATAACCGTACGTTGGCCGTGACGTAACAACGCTTTGTAATTAATTAATTTTTTAATTAACGAAGATTTTAATCGGTTACGAGTTAACTGCGACTACGGTCGGTGCGGCCACAATTTAGAGGACCGCATCGGGCCCTCGGGAAATCTCGATCGCAACAATGCAATGCGATAAATGATGCATCGTCGACCGCCGCCGCGATTTTATCGCGTCGCTTCGTATTCGCAGACGCGAACTTCGAAAGAAAATCGACGTACGAGTAGCTCGCACGTGAACCGCAATACATCTGAACGATTACGCGTATCGTAGTACCGTTTGTGTATTGGTCGGTGCGTGCAACGGCACGCGTAACTTGTGGACGAGGGCATACGAAAATATCGAACTTTCATCGAAAAAAATGTTTTGCGTTTTTTTACGAGTGTTCTCTGAACGGTAGTTGCGTGTGTGCCGTGTAAGGTTTCATCAGGAGCTCGGCCAGGTTTTCGTTTGGATCCGTTCGAGTACAGCGGTTCAAGAAATTCAAAAAGGTCAGTGCCGTCGAAGTCTTAAAAGTGAGAGAGCACCGTAACTCTGCACACGCGATGTAGTAAATTTTATAAAATATCACTCCGTGCATAAGATATTTTTCAAGTATCGAAGTGTTATAAAAACAATACTGGATAGGAAGGTACTATAATTTTGTTCAAACGGCGCTGGGTCTCACCATCAAACAGAAAATGGTTATCACACAAGATAAATCAAATAACTGATAACTGTCGACATAATACACATGATAATATGAAGTACTACGTGTGTACAATTGTTTTAAAATAATAATCGTGCATAAAAAATAAATAAATTATTAATAACAATAATGTTATTCTGTAATCGATTAAACGAAGCTACACATTTTACAATACAAAACCTATCCGTTTTCTTTTCGCGATAAATGTATTGTTATTTTTTTTACTTATTAATGTTAGTTAATGTTATCCGTCAAAAATGCAAAATTCCGTTTCTCTCGTTATTTCGACCGTCCATGGGAGTTCCGGACTGGCAAAACGTTTTTTTATGCGTGCAAAGCTACGGTTTTCCTAGTAAATATGATCAGGTAGCTCCAAGACTTGGTGGCCTCAGCGTAACACGCGTAAACTATTAAATCTCGATTATATAGTATCGCACCATAGTAATTGATATCGAAAACGAAAATTGTTTAATCAACTAAGTATCTAGTTTTCTCATCGTGTTTAAACATTAGTAGGCATTGATCGATTACCAGAGGGTGATCAATAACCGTACAGTTCACGCTATACACAGTTGTTAAAAGTCGACCCGACGGAATAATTAATGCGTGTTACTTGACCTGTAGCGTAGTTGTTAATCGTATCTTAAAAGTCAATACATTGAACGCAGTACACGGTTTGAACATGTTGTAAAACGTAAGCTACGGTAAAGACGGGGGTCGGTTGTGTAGTAGCGGCGGCGACGTATAAGACCTTTTAATTAATGATTTCGCTGCACGTTTGCGGTTCGACACGCGCGTACGATAGTAATTATTGGTAACAAAACATCGAAATCTTCGACGATCGACGCGCGTGATGGCCGAAATATATACATATATATATATATATATACATGCGTCGTTCTCGTGCGGCTTAGGTCATACATTATTGCTATTATTATCATATTTTTCGCGTGTAGTACCCAGTAATAGTAGTAGTAATAGCAGTAGTAGTAGTAGTATTCGGTGTACGTGCGCTTTCACCTATTGTTGCGCGCGTTCGCCGATCGAAAATAATTGTTAAGAAGTGTACACCGAATTCACTGCCGCGGTACAAATGACGAGATGACAATTTACTCGTACACGCACGCATTAGGTGCTCACCCGGTGACGTGTTTCGTTCGTCAGTCTGGAATAAACGAAACGTTTTGGGTATACGATGATAAAAAAAAAAAAAAAAACGAAAGACGAAAATTACTATAGACAACACCGCGGTGGGTACATGTTGTTACACGTGTAAACGATAACCGTTGTGAAGTTGTTTTAAAATGCAATACGCGTGCGGTACACGAGCTGTCGATTATTATTTCACTTTAGTACGACTTCCGAACACGTAGTGCAATTCGTACTCGCAGTACAATGAAATCGTTACGCGAACACGACAACAATATAATTTTGGTGGACGCGGCAGAGGAGCGTCAACGAAATCAAATCTTTCGGAAGAGCGTAGCGGCTGGCGGTTCTCGGTGATTTAATTTCGATTCGACGGTCGTGTTAATAATAATAGGTTTTATTATTGACGTTATGAGTAATAGAAAATAGTTCTATAACTCTTTCAAACTAAATATCTAATTTCGTTATAAGTCGTGTGTCAATAATCTCATAAATATACGCATATTTACGTAGAAACATTATAACCGTTAAGTAGGTATTCTATAATATTTACTAATTAGTTAATGATACCTAACGAGCGTGGACCAACGATTAATTAAAAATAAATGTGTAATATTATACATTTAAGTTGAAGAAAACAAGACCTTTTTCGTTTTCCGTCCATAATTACTTCGTCTCAATTTGTAATAGCAATACAGGCATATAACATTATTAGTATAATTTCGTAATTAAGATTATCATTAACCAACTGATTACTAAAAAATATATCGACTTACCATTTTTACCGGTACTCATTAATTATCCTTTTTCTGTCAACTTTTCGAAGAATATGATTTTACCTTCAGTAATTGTTGTAACCGTCAAGTCACATTCACTTTTATTGATTCAACTTATATTAAATATACAATTTATATGATGAAAAAAGGCCCAACTGGGCACTGGAGTAGCATTTAATCAAAGTAGGTAAGGCATTTTCATGAGTAATCAACACATTTATTATTTTAAAATCTGTTAAAACATTTATATTTTATGAAATTTTGAACAAGTATAATGTAACCAATGTAAGGGCTAATCATACTTTGTTTACATTATAAAAACTAAATATTATTCAATTACAATGATACTTAGTATTAAATTTCTAACAACAGTAAAATTATTGAACTTTAAAAACGTCCTAAGACAAAATATATGTAATATATCTTTAGAAAGAAAACTTTTACAGTTAAAATGAATAACTAAATTAATTATTAGATCGTATATAGGAATATTGTAATATTAACTAATTTCAATTTATTATAACAAACATTCGTTACTTCTGATTCTCATCAATTCGTAAACATTTTAATAGATACTGTAATAAATGCAACACTTCAATAAAAAAAAAAAAAAAACATGTGATACAACAAATAAGCGTAGAATCGAAAAATCGAACGGAAGAAATCATTTATAGATAGGAATAATAGGAATAAAACTGTTATAGGAATGATGAGTTTAAATGAAATTTAACGATATATTTATATGATAAATATATTAATACTGCAATTATAGCGTTAAAAATTATAATAATAAAAACAATATGACCAATAAAGAAGGAGATATGAGAACGAGAAAAATATAGTACAGTAGTAGTACGTATACTTCATCAAGGTATATTATCGTCAGGATTTCAGCACCTAGAATATTTATTATTCGAACACGTAAATGTATTTTAAGGATTCCGTGTAAGCAGCACAACCTTTGAGTGAACAAACGACCGTAACAATAAGACGGCGGGATAAATTTTCAAAAACAGCATAATATACACTGTCTACAGCGCACAATTAACGACAACAGATAGATTCGACATACTACAACAACGAGATATCATTATTGTCGTCGCAGTAGTAGTAATAGTGGTAGCGGTAGTACCACACATAGTAATGACGAAAACTATTTACGAGAACTAAAAGTATTAAAAATAAAAAAAAAGAGAAAAACAAAACAAGCATACGTGATGATGATGATGATGGCGTGACGACAACAGGTCGACGAAAAAGTAATACGGTATTACTTGTACGACGCCCGTGTCGTTCCGAGGAGTCGACGGCGGTGGCGAGGAGATTAGGATTCGCCGCATTGTTTCTTGGTGGACACGCGCCTGATGAGCTTCCTGAACGACGACGTCCACTTGGCGGACCGGTTGAACGACGACGACGACCGGTGACAGCCGCCGCCGGCCGGCATCATCTTGTTCGGGTCGGTCGGCGTGGCCGACGACGAAGAGATCCCCGAGTCGGACGAGAACTGACGGCGGCTGGCGGTGCTGCTGGTGCACTTGGCCGGTCGGCCGCCGACGCCGATGCACACGTCTTCGTCTTCGCTGGCCGACGAGAACGCGTCGTCGATGTACGATACGAACCGGGACAGCGAACCGCTGGCCACGGACCGTTCGGGTGTCGACGGCGGCGTGTGCGGGAACGAGCACGCCGACAGCCGTTCCGCGAGTTTAGCGCACTCCAGTTCGATGTCCGACGTGGACATCCGGTCGGAGGAACGGCGAAGCTCGTCGAGCGGAAAACAACCTCCGATAAACCTCGAAGTCTTTTCCCTATACAGGAACAATATTACGTACATGGAATAAAATACAAAAAAAAAAAAAAAATAATATTGTAATAGTTTGTATTCATATTTATTAAAAAAAAAAAAAAGAGACCGACGGTTAGTGGTTCGACATACACATTACAAAGGTGGGACAATATATTTTTATTTTCAGTCTGCGTGGACTTACAAATAGAGAAAGCGCAAAAAAACAAAAGTATTAAATATCTGCCATGATACTTAAGCTTACCCGTTACTGTTCGACGTGTACTCCCCGAATGTGGCTCTCGTGTAAGAGCAAACGGAACATTTCTTGCGCCTGCACGTAGCCAAGTGTTTCATACCCTTCTGCAGTTGACTGTTTAAAGTAGCCGACTGTTTAGCCATCATTTTCAATTCGTTAACTTCGCGTTCCAAGCCGGAAACACGTTTAGCTTTTTGACTCGCTTGTCTGCTGTTGGTGTGGTACAAGTCAGCTTTTCTGCCCAAATCTTCCAACACTTCCTTCAGTCTGGAATTCTAAAATAGAAATAATAAAATAAAAATCGTCTTTTATTGTTTTGTAATATTTCAGTTTGTATTCATATGGTTTACAAGCATCTTACCTCTCTTTCAAGTGTGTCTTTTTCGGCAGCAATCTCCGAAAACTGTCTGAACGCATCCAAACGAGCTCTTTCCAAGTTACGCCTGGTGATTTCTGAAGATTCGGCTTGAAGCCGAAGTTGTTTGTACGCTTCATTTTTTTCTCGCTCTAGACGATCTTTCCATTTTACCATTTTGTCTTTTTCTGTGCGCAATTTTTCGCAGTCTTCTTCTAGCCTTATAACCTTTTCTAGCTGTAAAAATAGTTCTTCTTCTTTTTCGTGTAGTTCGAGATCCCTAGTCACTAGCTGTTTCTCCAACTCGTGATGAGTATCTATTAAGCTGTCACGTTCTGCCTGAAAATTGAAAATTAAATAAAATAAATCTAAGTTATATTGAGCGAACACAACCAGTTTTTTTTTTCCTCTTACTATAAGCGAACATAGTATTGGTCATTATAACTATTCAGGTCAACAACGGGTACAGACTGGCGTCACAATTATATGATAATATACGAGCATTTTCAACACAGTAAAAAAGTGGGTTTACACGTCACGTACTTCTCGTAGCTATTGTATGTGAAATCAGCGTACATCCAGGAGATGACATCGATTGGTTTCATACATTTTATTACTAGTATTTGTATTTAAACTCTTTAAATTCTATCAACAGCTAGTTACTGACGACTCCAGACTAAAGATCACGAGAAAACACAGTTCGCTAGTCGAATATACAGTTAAGTCAAATAGATCGAAAGATTTTCAATATACAATGCCACCATTACGCCCGTAATAGATTACGAAATATCTTTACGACGTGAATAGTTAATTATTTTGCACTAAATTATTTTATTAAATTTAGATTTGACATAATTTATTTTTAAAATTAGATTAAGATACTATGGTGAAATGAATAAAACTTGACTTCACACACACTGAATTTCATTACGGTTTTTATTTTATATTAATATGTTTCTTAGAATTCAACTGGTTAGTTAACACTATTTAAATTTTTTAAACGTTACGCTCGAAATATTAATGCATAGTGTATTTATGAAGTTTACTTCAAAGACTATAAACAATTTATTCGTACCATAACAACCATCTCATAAGTACCGCTAAGTATTCATTTATGTACATGTAACATTTTTGTTATAAAAAAATAGTGATATAATTTCATTAAAAAAAATAAAAATCATTAAGCTTAAATAATATCTTACGCAGTAAAACATATTTATAAACAAATATACTTTAAAACATGATAAGTTACAAAGATATTATGAAATACACAAATATTGTACTTATAAATACGTTTGATTATGAAATTCAAAATACATCATTGACATTTTACTTTTCCCCATCACAAGAGACAATGGATTATTGAAAATTTATTCTTGAAATATAATTTAAGAATTATGAAAGTACACATATATTATAAACGCAGTCAAATACGTTTATCAAACATAATTTTGATGAATTGTATTATCCGTTAATTTAAAAAAATAGTCTATAATTAATGTTAAATATTTTTATTATTAAGTGTAGTTATTGAGTACGATTATAAATTACATATATTTGTTAAATGAATATAATACAATTTTTACTTGGAAATGTTAAGTAACACAACTTGAAATTTCATGATTTTTTTCAAAAAGTCAACATATCTAAATAACAAATCAATGAAGAATTATCTTTTACCACAAGAAAATTATCAGCAAACACATGTGTTTATGTATATGATTCACACCACAAAAAAGCATTATACTCCCGTTCTAATGAAGTTTACACCTTGTAAATAAAATATAAAATAGTAAATTAATAATATAGCATAATAAAAATAGAACACATTAAAACCTACCAAGTGTACTTGAATGGTCAAAATATGTTTCAGTTTACGTTTAGTTAACTAACTATAAAGGCCGAATATTATCAAAACAATTGGAATAAGTCGCATGGAACCAAACAAACTATACTACTTATAGAAGGTAATAAAGATTTTTGAATTGTATTGTACTGATAGTAGAATACATAAAAAATTAATTTTGCAAAAAAAGTAACTTAGAACGTACGTATAAAAGTTTAGTAAGTATTGAAGTGTAAGGAAATATACGAATAAAATTGTATTCGCGATAACATAGTTAAACTGTATTGTTGGCATTTTAAGCAATTGAATCAGAATTATACTACCTTTGAACATGAATTTATAAAAGTATTTTAAGAACATTTCAAATATAATGTTATATAGCTCTTTTTATTTATTATTTGTATATGTTTTCGAAATTCGTTAATGATCATTTACTGGTTCTACTGGATTTAATTTAAGAAACATAGGTAAGTGGATCAACAAAAAGGATGAATATTTCAATGGTTTTGTACTAATAAAAATTAATGACAATTCTTTGGTTCCAATACAAGATTGAAAAATAGTAATTATAGAAATAAATATAACGTAAACTATCTAAATATATGTATAAAATGTCGATCGATTTCAATAAAATATAATTTATACAAAATAGATTCGATAAGACATATTATAATTTCGAAACAGGTTGGACAAACAAAATATATTATCTAGACTTATAATACGAGTATATTTTATTATACTCCTACAGCGTTGAAACTTATATGGAAAAAGCATAAAAATTATAAATTATAAATTCTTGACTAGACCAAATTTTTTTTTGGCAAAACTAGTGAAATTATCTTTTATCGACTAATCGTATTACCATATAAAAAAATCATGTACATAATAAATCGTTGGTTTCGTGTTTTTTATAAAATGCAATACATTCTAAAGTAGGCGTTAAATAAATAAAAATGAAGTGTTTAAAAATATAAAACTATTTTACTGTCGAAAATCAAAACGCGTTTTCGTATTCAATGATAATGTGATTAAATTCTAAAACCCGATAGGTGTGGAATCTCCGACGACAAGTCTTCAAATCTTTCGACGTGTGCCGTAATCCGAGACATTTTTATAGCTGCGGACGGCCGTCGTAACTGTATTGAATATTAGTCTCAACGCGTAATCAGATATCGTTGATGCGCCATATTGATCGGATTTTCGTTCATCCATCTCCAATCTTCGGAATGAATAATATAATAATCAATGGCGCACACAGGATTTTTTTTTCGGAGGGGAGGGGGGTCAAGGTAAAAATGTAACACATTTTACAATTAACAAAATTATGCAAATCCTTAATATATTTTGACTTAAATAATAGCATTGATAATAGAAAATACTATTCTATAATCAATGATACTAGGTATTCAATACTAGCTCTTCATAATTCAAACTTGTAAGATTTGTAAATTTTAACCTAGACATCAGAGAAAATTTCGAGGGAGGGGTTACAACCCCTTAATCCCCCCCGCGTGCACCACTGATAATTATACGTATATTATTATATTGTTGTGCAGTGCGAGTAGGGGCACGATCTACGCAATCCGATATGTATACATTTTACACGCGCACGTATATACATAAAAATAAAACGCGAATTCCAATGTCTCATCGTGAACCAGTTGCGATTCGTAAGCTGTTTTTCCATAGGATTTCCCACGCAAGTCGCTACGCCGTTGTTCAAAGGAGGACGTAGGTGCGCACATTTCCGTGCTAAGAGTGTCTAGACGGCAGCGCGTGGATTGGAAAGTGTACTGAACTCTCGGCGGCGGCCTAGTTCCCCGGCTTTTTATTATTTTTACATCCACAGGTATTATGCTCGTACACCCGTACGCTATTGTTTCGCGCTGGCAACATCAGAGCCGTCCGCGGTTGTTATTAAACGCACATCGGAGTGGTATAGCGTTATAACATTCAATGTATAATATATTTTGTGAAACGATACATTTTACGTTTTATCCTACGTTGTGTTATATACGTACGAGGTGAATATCACTTAACGTGCGCGCGCGTTACGATAAAAATAACCGAAAGATGGCCAAAGGTGTGATAAACAAGATGAACAAAAGGGTTTTTGTTCAATTTTATTACATTTTCCCCGTTTCGTTTCATTCCTGCATACTTAATGCCGCTTCAACGCGGTACGTCGTGATGTCAGCGCAAACGAACAGACAGTTTTATTATGTTATTTCTTCTTCTTTTTTTTTCTATTTCTTATGGAACTTTCTAATACGTACGACATATAGAATGCATTTATCGGGCTACCGCTACACGGCGCTGTGCGTGTTCTTTTTGCAAAACGACGCGAATTTCGAAATCAAATTATTATTACCTAAGCGTGTATGTGTGTGTGTATTATAATAAATAACAAACATAAACATAGATACGAACAGCGTTCGTGTGAGTGAATACGTATTCGCGGTAACATCAGCGTACCGGGTACAAAAATTCAAATGTACATTATTTCGTGGCCTTGGTGAACACGTTATTGCAATTATGTCCGGTGGTTAGATATATATATATACATATATTTACTGCCATACGGTGGCAAGACAAATAATACGTTTCGAGTACGGTGTCGAAAATATAATGTTCTACCGTACCAATGTATTTTTATGCGCAGCCATTATTTTTCACGGTAAGTACGTTTTTTTTAACCGAAATATTTCAATGATAATGTAATCTTTTGCATTCGACGAATCGTTCTAAACAGATTTAGACGATAAGTAAAAATATGTTTATAATGTGCTACTATATTTCAATTTGTCACTGTCCGAGTAAAAGTATATAAATGCATTCAATAATATAATATATAAATATTTAACTTAAATCGTATATTAATTTGAATTGATACAGTTATTTGTACATAATACAATGCAAAATAGTATAATAAATAATATTATAATCGTAGTAAATAAAATAACTTTTCAATCGCGGTATAAAACAAATACATGCACATGAGGATACTGCCGTGTATATGGTACATATATAGAATATTTACATAGCATGTACGGTCGCAATATGCTATTATTTTTGTTAAATTTCACTAAAATATTGAGAGCGATTCAAAAACGTCCTTGAACAAAGATACATACGTATAATAATAATATAATTTTTTGGTCACTTTAATTTGATAAAGACGTATAATATCTATTCATAAAAAAAAAAAACACTTTTAGTTAGTCTTTGAATATGTAATATCATAATTCAGTCACGATCAGAATGACTATACTATACTTACATACTATATTTATAAATATTACAACAGCATTATGGTCATTTCGTATTGTTTATAAGCTTTCGTTTTGTTTAAAGACCGAATCATCTTGGGTTTTTCTATTGTTCGAATATGATTATCATATGGGCGTTTGTAGAAAACGGAAGTACACGATTTCCCGTTACGGATGCAAGCCGAATATTTAAATAATTTTACAGAAGTAGCTTAATGTGATTTTTTTATATACTATTTATCAAATGGAAAAAAACATCACTATGTACGATACCGTATAACTGAAGTGCTAGTGCTCATTAACCATGACGCGAAATAAATAAATATAAATTAAAAACGTAAGCAATATAGTAATTTTTTATTTATATTCGAGGAAACTACATAATACATTTCATTCATGAATGGAATTAGTTTAAAACAATCTATTTAGGTTACTTTTAAAACTTAACTTTTAACAATATTTTGTTATCAACAATAAACAATAATTATATTATAAATTTATAAAATTAACTAGAACTCTTCTATAATATCTACAAGAATGAACTATCTACATACCAGGGTTTATGCATATGTTTTTAATAATATAAGACGAAACACATTTTCAACAATTAAAATAATAACGTTAAACAAAATGTATTATTCTTAAAATTGTTATTAAATAAAAAATACTTTTAATTGAAATTTATATAAGACATAAAAACAATTTTAAATTCTAAATACATTCTTTAATAAATATATTATTATCATTTAATTAGTAAAATAGGATATCTTATATCCTATTGGCTATTATATCATATATTTACCTTACTTTATGGTTATTGGTCATAGATAAGTAACGAGATAATTAGACTTATAAGTTTGTAAAGAAATCAATAATTATATTTCTCTAACTCTATTCGTATATATAATAGATGTAATGTTATCAGTGATAAGAATATGAATTATTATCACTGATAATAGAAAATACAAAAACCATGTTAATTTTATGATAAAATTTAATTATAAGAATTTAGTATCTAAAAAATAATAAACTTTTATTGTCGTTTCTTTTTTTTTAGCTAAGTATTTAAGCATATAATACAATAATTAAAAATTATTAAACAATAACGCTTTTCTTTGAGCAACATAAACATTGTTTATGATTATTACTATTATAATAAATTAACTAAGAAATAAAACATTAAGAAACAAAATATAATTCCCTCTACAAATGTATATTATGTATACTATACATGTATATATTTGACTTGACTTTGGTATATGTCTTCATATTTTCTAAACGAAATTAATGGATATATTTTTATTAAAACGATAAGATATTTTTAAATATATTTTTTCGAGCATAAAATTTCTTATTTTAAATTGAAAATACTTTATTAGATTAACATGCTCGAAAAAATATATTTAAAAATATCTTATCGTTTTAATAAAAATATATCCATTAATTTTGTTTAGAAAATATGAAGACATATACCAAAGTCACTATAGTCAAATATATGCATTATTTTACTATGGATTTTAACGTTTGCATTAATTAGGTAATCAATTTGATCGACTGTCAAACGTAAGAAAAATTAATGTATATCCAGAAAGACGCCTAATATAGATTTTTTTTTAGAATGTTTTGTTCGTTGCATTATACAAAGAAACAACACACTCAAAAAATATAAGTCTCTACCCCATTTAGTATACATAAATGATTACTTTAACCTGACTTGTCACACGTGTGTTCGTAGTTTTCCGGACGATTTGGGCAAAGTACTAATATTTCAAATCCATAACTCATAAGAACACTCATACTTATATACACTTTATCTTATGGGAAATATTACATTTATCCATTAAAGAAATAAATGTGAAGGGGCCTTCATATAGAAGTTTCTTTTATCTCTTGGGAGTGTTTATTTACAATGAAATATATTTTATAATATTAAGATTGACAAAATATAGAAATAGATATGGTAATATGGTTTTATATATCTACTAAAAACACTAAAGATGTGAAATACTAAAATAATTAATAAAAAATTAAGTGTATTGTTTAATTATTTCACATGATTAATTTATGCGGAACGAATCTAATTTATTTATTTTCAATTTTTATACAAAATAAGTTGTTATAATCTAATTTTATATTCCTATTTTTACTTACCACTATAATTTAAAAATACATTGTTTGAGGAAAGATTTATAATTGTGAAATATGAGTATGTATTCAATAAATCGTGAAGTACTTATAAATAAATATATATATATATACATTATTAATATATTTTATCAGATCTTTTCTATCTACCTAAAATTTTAAATTATTAAAAGACAAATGTATAAGGAAGCCAACAAATTCATATAATAGTAATTCGCTTTTTTACAAAATAAAATCTTTAATTTTTAATTATATTAAATACACCAAGATAATATGAAACAAAAAAATATGTCAAGATCCACATAAAAAAAATTGCCGCCGAGATTGGGCAATAATAAAAGCATAAAAATGCGTTAGTATTCATTCAATTATTCAACGAATAAAAATTATTTACACATTTTTATATAATACACTAGTCATCGTTCGTAAACACTCACGTAGCATTTATCAATAGAATATTCTTTGAATGACATTTAAAACTTTCTTCGGGCCATGTGAAAAGGTAAGACTAACGAGTACAAATAAAGATCTCCGGCGTGACTGTCTTACCCGTACATGCGATTCAATGCAAAGAGTTAGAATATTCTCCACGCATCGGATTTTTTCTTGATACGGTATTCATTTTGCTCATCGTTATACATTTGAATTATACAGTAGTATTTTTTTTATGCAAGACTACAAAATAACACATAAACACACTTACATGCATAAGATGATCTTTCGAGTGACGATATTTTCATGTATGGGGAGTATTATAGCCTAAAGATAGTAAATAGAATTACTATATAACCGTCTCACCATTACGTGTCATGGTTCTAATTTCTTTTACTCTGTTCCCTTATTACTACTAGAACGAGGTGGTTTCACCTTGGAAATTTAAAACGCCAAGGTAACTCTACTTAACATGTTTTATTAGTTATATATAGGTATTATATTTACGAGTAGTTTTGTTTTGTTTTTCGATCATATTATAAAAAATCTAGACGAATACGTCAGCCAAGACTTACAACGTTAGATTTACGTACGAAAAATCTGATCGATAGGATTTCCTGATGGTACCTTCATGCGTTTACCCACACGAACAACTCTCACTTCAGGTTTGTTATTGCATAACGCGTGGACGACAATTACTACCAACTGGTGCCGATGATTATGTGAACGTAATGATTACTTTTTTTTTTTTTTAACAAGATATTAGATTTATTACCTAACTAGTGTTTTTATTCTGCTACGAATTATTTAATTTTGGAAAAAAAAAAACTTTAACTTAGACAAATCATAACTGTCGAAGAGGAAGTAATTGGTTTTGCTCAGCTTCACTCATAACTATTTTAGAGACCAAACTTTTTCAGCATTAATAAGTATTACAAATTAGAAGAAATGCATAAGTATATTGGACACAACTCAAAGACATATAACACTTTCTTTTCTATTTCTCGCGTAGTGTAATTATAACAAATGACCTATATATTACATTAGTGCTATAAGACCACTCTAGAGGCTCTACATTAGGCTTAATTTAAATAAGCAATCATCATCTCTGGCTATCTTATGTGGTTTTATTATTGTGGGTGTTGTCGTTCAAGCCAACCATCGAAATAGTGAAAGTGCTAATAACTAAAAAATAAAGAACACAAAAATATGTATCGACCTATATTCGTTCGGAATTATTTCAAACAATACGTTAAATAATGATCTCATCATATACAGACTCACCACATGGGAAACTGTTGGACTTAAAGACTTAAGTAAAGAGGCTCGTTGAAATTAATTCATAAGTTTTTAAATTTTAATAGGAATACTTATTTTATATTAAATATAATTATGGTTATGTCTTCGTTTTGGTATAAAATATTATCGAGTATACATAATCAACATTTTATCACTGAGAAATGAAGAATTAGAATCGAAAACAAAATCACTAGTACAAAAATACAAATAAGATTTATCTGAAAATATGTTTCATGAATTGTTACATCTGAAAACTATATAATTTCCAAAATTTTAATAAAGGATTCTAATGCCACCACTCGAACTATTAAATTCTATTTACGAGAAAAAATGTCCAAATAATTTTTGTAAACGTATGTATTAGTCCGAATATTATTTACTATTCCAGTGACTGTAGCTGAAGCAAAAAGGTTATTTTATAAGATTGGTAATTTGCTGAAGACGTGGTAAAGATTAACAAGAACGATTAAAATCACTTGCTTTTTTATGTACAAAGAATGCATTGGCTTCAGCAATACATTTCATCAATGTCATAACTGATTTCATTGTGCTCAAAACCCATAAAATAAAATTTTATTTAAAAAAAAAATATATGAATTAAAATATAGATACTTGTTTTTTTCTTTTTTTTTCATTTGGATACTAGTAATATATTTAATAAAAAAACAAAAAAGACATTATTATTATCAAAGTACTTAAGAATCTTTACTTTTATTAATTTATGATAAATTGTATAATTGAAACTTTTGTAAAGAGCCCAGACATATATTTAGTACAGACGCCTAGAATTTTATATAGAAATAGAATAACAGAAAACAAAAGAAAATAACTTACTTTGATTTCATGATATTTTTCTTCCAAATAATATGCCAAACTACGAGCTTCTTCATACTTTCGGGATATATCCAGATACTTTTCATAGTGACGTTTGAATAGTACAAATCTAAAAATACAAATTAAAGTGTCAATATAAGATAATTAATTTTTATTAGAATAACATTTTTCTATAGAATAAATAAGAAATAATTTAAAAATTAAATATACGAGTATATAATATATATATGCTTATAATGGGGTTTTAACAATAGAATTAATGAAGCTTACAAATATGATATTCAAGTTGAATGGATTTAATTTATTTAATATATATTTTTTAAACATGTTTCATTTGAATAAGTTTTGGTAAGTGGGCTATTGGCTGCTAAAATTAACAGTGTAATAATAATAATAATAATAATAATAATTCTTTTTTTTTAATTCAATTAATAAAAATAATGTAGTTTGCATTATTGTGTTACTGTTAAATTAATGATATAGAGTAATTAGTTAGTATAAATACTATTAATTAAATAGAAATGTAAACACTTATAAAATAATAACAATTTTTAATGAGTTAATTAAAAGCAATATTTTTGTTAAATAAATACCTACTTAATAGATTTTAACATATTAAGTTTAACTGAAATTATGTAAAGAAGTAATCAAAATAATGAAGTTGTTGACCTTTTTAAACAACATAAATTATTAAAAATAAAGGTGGTATATTTTAATTTTTAAAAAAAACCGAGTTTAATATTTTTATACTCAAGAATATGAATATTTTTTTCACTGATAATAGTGATAAGGGTATTATTTTTATCAGAAAATTTATCTCATTATATAACTAATGTATTTATGATAATAATTACAAAATGTAAAATACAACACAATTACAGACTTAAGATTGTAATATGTTTATATTAGACTAAAAGTAATTTAATATTTAACTCATGGACCATCATATAATAATACTCTCATTATTATATTATATTCTATAATAATCTTTTCATAAATAAATTATTAAATATTAATGTATAATTAAACCATCACGTTTCTATATTTTTATCATACATATTGTTTAATAATGTAATTACTCATTATAACACAATACTAAAAACAATATTTACAAGAATTCATAACAATATGTAAATGAGAATGAGTACACAAATTGATTTTAACTATATTTTTTTATTTTAAGCAATTTGTTATAATTAGAACTCAAGCTTAATAGATGAAATAATCAGTGGCGTATACATAACTTTTGTATGAGGGGGGAGATCAGTTGGAAAAAAAATATTATGGAAGGAAAACTCCTAAACCTAAGTACCTGCACATTTCAATAATAAATAATAAGATATATATATATATATATATAAATATTAATATAAATATTGAATGTGTCAAAATAATAATTTACAATAAATCCTTGCAATATTTTTTTGTTTCCTTATAATTTCCTTAAGAACATTAAGAACACTATTTTATACATATTTAAAAAGACCTATGGGGGGATCTGACCCCTACATCACCCCTTGTATACGCCATTGGAAATAATAAATACACGCACAGAGCACAGAGTAATTTCTATCCATTAGAAGTACTTCAATAAGATAATTATTGTATAGCACATATTTTTTATATATATATATATATATTCATATGATTAGGTTACGACACCTTTGACTTTTAAGTCTTTTTTGAGATTTAAGTAGAGAAAATAAGTAGATTGGGATGGTGGTTTAACCGGTTATTGAAGCACTTATAATGCAGTTTAGCTAAATCAGTAACTGTGGATATTTCTAGATCGGAGGGATGGGATTTATTATAGTCGTAGTAAGGTTCTTTAGAAATGATGTAAAGAATTTTTGATTAGAACTTTTGGATAAAGTCAATATTTGAAATTTTTGCTGAGCCCGTTATCTGGATTTCATAGGTTCAAATGGGTCTTAATAGTAGCTTGTAGATTAATAATTTATAAAGGTATTTTATACTTTTGGAGGTTAGCAAGAAACGAAGAAAAAGCAGGCACTTATTTAATGATAAAAATATTATTTTTAATATGAGGTAACCAAGTTGGAGGAAAGTACACCTACAGTAGAGATTTTTCTTTAAGGCAAATGAGATTTTCTAGTCTATGCATTTGATATATAGTGGAATGGGTATTATGGAATCCAAATTGAGAGTTAGGTAAAGTATTTGTATCATTAGTACATTTTAGTAATAGTTTCTCAAATCTTTTTGATAGAATTGGGAAGAGGCTTATTGGACTGCATAAGGAAGGACAGTTAGTTGGATGGTGTAGAAAATTGAAGTAAAAATATTTGATAAATTTAAGTTCAAGATTTATTTTCTACTTATACATTTAAAAAGTTTTAATATAAATATTTGATTTATATTTAATAAAGATACACCAAATTTAAAACTCCCCCAGTTAAGTCACTATAACATATTATAAACCTAGAAAATATAAATATGTTAATCATTATGCTCAAGGATAGTAAAAACTAGATTTATTATTATTAATTGGTTTTCAACATTTTTATCATCAAATGTATTGCTAAAATTTGATTTAAACCAATTAATAAGATAATTTATTTATGATGTATTAAAAAAAAAAAAATTATACTTCTTTTAAGGATTAAAACATCATATATAGTAATAAAAATAGATAATCTAATAATTAATAGATTTCTAATTTTTAAAATAAAAATAATAAGTATTAAATTTTGTACTCTAAAATAAATTTGATAATCAAGTCTTTGGTAATTTAGATATTCACTACTTAGGATCAGATAAATTTATTTTCAAATAGTTAGGTAAATTTTATTGTGCATTTATACAAATTATAAACAGTTATATTGTACTTAAATGGAACACTTTTATTGGACATCCTATTAAAAACTTTAGTAAAGAAAGAAATTAAGTAGTATACAGAATTAATTTGGGTGGAATGATCTTTAAAATATAGTATATTTTTAACTCATTAAATTTGTTTTTTGTTTTTATCTATTTCTGTTAATAACTTAAGCTTTGAAATGATTAGTTACAATAATAATACTTTGCTAAATACACATATATAAAAATATAAAAATAAGGCTGAATATATTTTATAATTTGTAGGTACATAGATATAAAATGTAAAAAAAAATGTTTATTACCTGTAAAAATCATTTTGAGAAATTATATCACCAATACTGTCTTCTGGATCAATACGATCTACAACACTACATCTTTTATTAGCACCTTCCGATGAAAAATCACCAGTGAGCTTTAATAATGGGGTAGGATTTGATTCTTGAATAACAATAGGAGAATCATAGCAAGCCGCAGAAGATCTATGATCAGTTACTTCATCGTCATACACCACACAAGCATCTTTTTGAATTTGAAATGCAGCATCACTAATACCATGCTGCATATCATGTGGAGTATATGGAGCACCTTGTAAAATTAAATCATCACTACGGCTATGCTTCAGTTCACTATTCATACGAAAACTACTGCGAGGTCCAAGTACTGGAGACAGCATACCACAACGATATACCTCACGACGAGGTGAATTATCAGCTGAATGCACCATTATATCAGCCATGGTATCTCGTTTGCAACTCATATGGACAGGAACTAAAACACAATATTTTAAAAATGAGAAATTTAAAATATGAAAAATCCTAAATATTTTAATATCAATTATTATTATAGTAATTTTATTGCTTAATGCATTTGAATAATTAAAATTATATAAGATAATTCTTTTTTATACATCTTTAAGTAAATCATTTTGATTAAATCTGGTAAATTAAAAACAAACCTACAAAATAGTAAACACCTATAACAGTAAATAATATTAATTTCATAATTAATAGAATTAAATATTAAAAAAACAAATAATTATTTTAATTATTTAGTAAGTTTAAATTAAAACAATAAAATTATAGAACAGAACAGGCATAATAAGTTCATTTTCATATAAAGAAATTCTGGTCTACGAGTAATGATTATTGGTAGTATTTGGTGATTTATTGACCAGATTATTCACATAGCTGATAACATTTAAATTAGTAGTATATTAGGTATATAGGATGAAGAGCAATTTAAACAATAAATGACACCAACAAATGGAATACTTGAATACTTTCTAAATTTATAATTGATATAGTCCTCAGAAATATCTCAAAAGATATTGAAGTTCATAGCTAAGGTTTTAGAATTTTCCTATAATACTGAAAATAAATTTAAAATGGTACAATCTTTCAGTTGCTTTTTGCACTTACCATCACTTTACTCTTGTAACCATAAATGTAATCACTAACAATTGTATAATAAATAGGTACTAATATAAGTTGCATAATAGCCCAGAAGCAATATCATAATATATTTGAAATAAATGAGTAGGTGTATACATATTAAAGACCTATCTATAAAATAAAATATTTTCCTGTTTTATAAAAATAATATTCACTTGTTTTTATTTATTTTATAAAAGAACTACTTTAATTATATATTCAATTGATACAGTCTAAAATGATAATTTTTTAATTTTTTAGACAGCCTAAACTAAAAAATATGAAGAACTTACCAAATGCATATACTTATGCATATTTTTAAGATGGAATAAACTACTTTTAAATAAAATAAAAATAGCAAAAACCAACATTAATTTAGTAATATTTGCAAAAATTTAAAATACACTAATTATAAACCATTCCAAAAAATGAATATTAAAAATCTTCAATGGCCATTAATTTTAATTTTTTAGGATTATTGAGCGGTTGAACTTTAATAATGATCTTAAAACGATTGTAGAAGTATATATCATAGTTTTAAAATAAGTAAGTTATACTTAAAAATAATAAGATGCTTAATACATAAATATATAATTTCTATGTATTATACAATTAGTTACTTCAATCACAAAATGTTCAAATTTAATAAATAGTCTATATTTACATTAGTATTAGAATAACAAATTACATGTATCTCCATAATTATTTCCTTGCAAATAAAACTAATAAACTTGCACAAAATACCCAATATTTTTCTACTTTATAAAAGTTAGGTATTTATAACTAAGATTTTTTTTTTAGGAGGAGGGTTTATGAATAAGTCAACTACATTTTCAGATTTATGAAATATATAAAGAAATCCTTACCATAAAATATATGTAAAGCTACAGATGTTTAGATACGACAAAAATTTTTATTTAAATACTAAGCAGAAAAACACTGATATTATTACAGCAAAATTTTAACTTTATTAACCATTGTAAAGATTAAGTACTAAGTAGTATTGATAGTAAAAATAGGAAAATTAGGTTTGTGTCCAGTTTTGAGTATTATATATGTTGAAATGTTTATAAATCTAGTACTTATATGTGTTGGGCCATATTTTAAGTAAAATTGTTTGTGTATCTAGATCACAAGAAATCAATGAAAAATGTCTACAGTTTAATAACATTTAATGTTGAAAAACGCAATTAAACCATACAAGTGTCCATGACTTTAACTGTTGATTAAGTATTTAGAGTTAGTCAAAATCTCGTACAACAGCAATACTTAACACAGAGTTGATGCAGAATGTATTTGACAAGTATATTAGAGCCTGAGAAAAGTTAAGTATAAGTCAAGTATTTTCCAATTACGGTTGGAGTATTAACTTCCAGGTAGTGTAAACAGCAGAGTTTTTGGCTTTAGTTCTCCTTCATTTAAGATATTTAATTCATAAGAAGGTACATTTTGAAATGAAAGCGATGATAATTATAATATAAGAAAAAAAACAAACAATGTATAAATATCTCGATTTGGGCCCTTCAACATCCAAGATCTCGATGCGAGATCCAGGCTGTAATTTCCCAATAGTAATGGGAGAGTAGACCTAAAGGCATGAAGATCACAAGAATCTAGATAGGCACAACAATTTTCGTCTGATGACGTATATTCAACGGTGAAAACACCAGTTTCTATTATCATCTCGAATAACATAATAGAAAACTTACCATGTAAGCTTCTCGTACGACTTTCGGTGAAACGATAAGACTGCTACACGAACTTTGAACGGTCGCACTCGAGAAACACTACAAAAAACGATTAGCGAAGAGGATTTGTGAATATTTTAAAATGTATCGTCCTCTTTAGACACCATCCGATAACGAACGGACTTCATAACGACAAGCAAAATCGAAACGCACTGATCAACGCACGGCGGCTTGCACAGACGATCGACGGCTTGAAATAATTGCGGCGATTGTGCGCGGACCTGATGATGATCGATTTTCGACGAACGGCCAGGGAAAAATATGAAAACAAAAGCAATTTATGGAAAGGTGAATGACTTGAACGAACGGGATAGGATAAAAAACGAGTACACGTTCTGTTTTCGATTTTGTTTATTGTTTTCGCGATACTGGTCAGCAGAAAAATGGAAACGGGTGACTATCGAGTGACTGACGATAATCGATAATGGGCCGCGCAAAGCGAGTGGACGAAGATGTTTGATAAGAGGGAGAAAAATAAAATTCCATCATGGCGACCGTGTACGTTATGTTGCCTGCGACAACAGCCCATCGAAAACGTTGTATACCTATTTTCTTGTACCGCTGCGTTAGTGCAGCGTTATACAGTGTTTGAATATTGTTTGAAAATATATATTTTTAGAAAACAATTTCATGTGACCAAAACACAAGAAAACGCGTATCGTAATACTTGTATTTTTATTATATCCGCTTACAATGAAAAATGGTTTTATTCACATGTTGCAATTGAAGTCCCATACCAAGATATTTTATTCATTCAGAGTCTGATTAATTATGAAAATATTGAAAAACAAATATCCAATATTACATTGAAAAAATGATGAAGACATTTGTGGTATCTAAATACTGAAGCAGTGGCATTTTCATTTTTTGATTCAAAGATTCCTTTGCCATTGAAAATAAAAATGGTAGATTCACTTAAAATTCAAGATGAAAATGAAAATATTATGAAACGTTATGTTACCCCGATGAATAATTTAACATTGCTAAAAAGTTCACAAATTTCTGATTTTATCAACAGTTCATGGATGAAATTTTTTGAAAGGTTTAACATTGCTACAGATTTCCTTAACTAAAACCCAGAAGAATGGTACAAAAATGTCAATTATCAAAAATATATATCTGTACTTAGTCAAAATTAAGTTGTAAAGGATGCACCTGAGAGGGGAGTGAAATTAATAACTGATTTCAATAACAAAATTACTAAAGACGAGGAACAAAAACAACTTTTGATGCATATAGTTTACGACTACCGGCATAAGTTGACGCGAAACGAAGGACACTTTCAAAACAAATTTGATAATGTAATAAAATTTAAAATTTTAGTTTATATTTATAAGTTCTAATTTAATTAATATACTACTTAAGTTCTACAAATTTTCTCCAAGATATGTATTTTTTAAATAAATTCATTGTCTGCAAATAATATGATGTACACTTTTTTTATTAATTACAAATATTTTTGAGGTACATGAAAAAACGAAAATACGTCCTCTTAAAAGAAATTTCAACCCTCTTGAGACATGTCTTAGGGTTGTACTAACGTTATAAAATTACACAAATATTATTTTTTTATGGTTTAGTTTCAAATTAGAAGGTGGCGCAGTTTAAATTTTGATCTTCAATTTTAAGGACCACCCTAGTATTCACATATATACTAATCTATGGTTCACGCTAAGAGGTTCCACTAAATATTTCAGTTGGAAGACTTTGTATTTAAATGGGGTTTTTGGGAAATAAAAGGGAGTACCGAAATACACAATTTTAGATGAATTTCAAATGTTTGGCTCTATCGGTACGCGCATGCAATAACACAACTTACTTTTTTTTTTAAATGGCAACACCATATTTTTTTTTTTTACATATTCGGCTAGAGTATTTTTTTTTAAACAATTTTCGTATAAAAAGTTATAACTAAAAAACTGGCTAAGTTTTAGTATGTTGGAATTTAAATTGACGAATAATCTGTTTTTGATGAAATTTAAATAAATTCAGGTTATTGTTACTTGAAAATCCAAACAATATATCCTATATTGTTAAATACCATTTTTTACACAGATAATATATAAATTAACACTTTTTTATCGTTATTTACTCTCATTTTTGTCATTTATTCTTTTAAAATAAGATCGTTAATTGAAGGTACCTAATGAAAATTATAATTATATCTTATCTATGTACAGATATTTAACAATATCAGAATTATTATTTTGATTTTCAAGTAACAATAAGTTGAATTTTGTTTAAATTACATCAAAAACAAATTATTCAGCCGTTTAATGGTTACCGGATCTATCCCGGGCTATCCTTTGATTTGCAATTATTCGCGGAAGTCCTGAAGCAAAATTGTCATTTCTTTGCGTAGATAAGAATACTAGGAGTTGGGTCTGTCTATACGCAGTCGATTAGACCAACACCGTCGTTTTCATTTTGTTGTTATCAAAAGTAAAATTGTTATCATAAATATAATTTTATCATAAATTATAAATTTATAATAAATGAATTACATTATTTTATTTGTTACATGGTAATATTAAGATATACCATCTTCACTCTTTACATGAAATGTATGTTCCAATTCTAACTTTCTTATTTTGTTTTCAGAATATATATTTTAAGCAGTAGAAAGTCTATTATAAATATGCTTGAACAGTTAGTTGCGAAAATTACAATTTTTGGGTCCCAGGGCGACTGAGATTTACTGCCCCATTTTTTAACATATCAGGTATTTGATAATGGTTTCGTTTTTCGACCCTTTTTCATCTAGTAATTCAAATATACATCAATATGTATATTAAAGCATATTTTAAAATTCACAAAGCACATCAATAAATAAGAATTCAAAATTTTAGAATGATAACCCAATTTAATTACAAGCACATAGAGGTCAACCAGTTGTTATGCAATGTACATCCTCCAAATCAATCAATAAAATAAACGAAATAACAACAAAACTTAATAAATTAATTTTTTATCATTTTTAAAAATTGAAAGTTTAAAAAATTAATTAAATTAGTTGAGACAAATAGGAAACAATGTTTACTAAAACTAGTAAAAATGTATACTAAATGAATTGTAATGTATTGTTTAGGTACCTATCTATATTACATTTTCAAATTCTTTATAGTACTGCTGTTACTTAACTATTAATTTTAATTGCAGGCCGCATCAATGTTCCTATAACTACCTATCTTTATATTAAAAGATAAAGCACGTCTAAATTATATAAAAATAAATACAGGGAAAACAATGAATATTGAGAACAACTTGACTGCCTACATTATTTATCAATACAATTTTGAATTTATATCTTAATATTACACTGTAACAAATAAAATAATGTAATTCATTTATTATTAAATTATAATTGATGATAAAATTATATTTATGATAACAATTTTATTTTTGATAACAACAAAATGATAGCGACGGTGTTGGTCTAATCAACTGTGTATAGACAGACCCCTAGAAGTAAGGGTTCTTTGAATTTACGCTCCTAAGAAATAAATATGTTACATTTTAAATCTTACCATGGAGGTAAATATTTTATCAAGTTCTATCTATGTTACGTGTAGTTTTATTTCTGTTTTACAAATTTTAGTACTTAATATCTTTGTGATTTCATACAAGAAATAGATTCAACAATTGTTAAATGTCAAATGTAATTTGATTTAATAATTAAATAAACGGAGATGTATTTAGAGTTTTGACGCCCCAGGTAAAGTTTTATTGCTACCCCTACGCACGTTTTATACGATTTTTCAAGAAAGATCATGTTTATTATCTATAGATTTTACGTGGTTAACTTTTGATAATATTATCATGAAAATAAAAATCGCAGTGGGTTGGCTATGCAAAATCTTAAAATATTAAAATTGTTTGATTGACGAATGAAAATGGATTATAGTTCCAAAAAAATGCTGCCGCCTCTTAATTCCAAAAAAATTTATCGCCCAGGGCGATGGGCTCCTAATTATGTCATTGGAAATAAATACGGTTATCTATAGATGCGACGAATATCTGTAGAAAGTTTTGGTCCAGTTAAATGATGATGCTCAAAAGTATAAAATAATATTTTTCGTTACCATTTCTGATCAATAATTTATAATTCCAATAGTTTTTATTCCTTAGTCGTATTGCGAAATCTCCACATTTCTATTTCACTTAAAATTACGAACCCACTATACATATAGTGCAATAGATACTGCCATAATTTGGGTTTATGAAAATGGATAGGAAATAATACAAATGCCATCAATATAACAGTTGTGGATTTAATTTAAATTCTTATTTCAAGGGCAGAAAAAAATTATATATATATATATGCAGGGCCGTTCCGAAGGGGGTCTCAACCCCCCTCCCCCCACCACCCAAAGAAAACACCAGTCGGCGGTCGGACTTGTTTCATTATAGTCTAGAAGGACCTAATTTTACCTACGGAAAACAAATATTACATATTTCGTAATGCAGTGTATACATGAATACAATTTATAGAACTACTTATTATACAATATAAAATATATATATATATAGGTATATATAATTAAATTTTCAATTTTAAGAACGTGTGACACTGACACATATATACATGTTAAAAAGTAAAAATACGACTACATATAGTTAATTACACTACATACATCGAGTAAAAAAATTGTAGTCGGCATTTTTCATATTATTCCCCCCCCCCCCCCTTGATTTTCATTTTCGGTACGGCCCTGTATATATAACTGTCAACAGTTGTACAGAAATTATAGAATAAATAGAAAAATTTATTTTAATTTATAATATATTTTTCTTATTGAAATAACTTCACGTAAAACAACGTTTAAATCCAAAATTCAGTCTTTTTATATAATAAATTTATATGCATTTAATATAAAATGTATGTTTATCGGATAAAGGAAATATTTTAAAATATTTAAGAATATTCTTTAGAAGTATACTATTCATCAATAATTGATAAACAATCGATAGTTATAATAATATTATTATTCATTGCATATTTCATATTCTTGTATGTTGTATTTTTATTGTAAATTATAGAAATAACTCTATGTGTTATAATACAGAAGTATCTGATTGTAAACAATTTAAACGATATGGCCTTCGATTGTCTCTGTATAGAGCCGTGAAAAATATAATATAAATATTTGATTAAATATATATATTATATTATTTATATATTTTTTTAAATTATTCCACAATCAAAACACAAAGATGGTTTTAAAAGTGACTACTTATATTTACTTGGATAATGTACTTAAATTATAAGGCCTAATATTTCCTGACTATATACTATGACTATATATACTATAAGAAATATATATTGACACGATTGAAATATTGTTTATTTTTAAAGATAT